AACAATAAATTTCCTTTAAATAGAAGAAAACAATCTGAGTTTGTCTACACTGAAAGAGAAAAAACTATTACAATAAAATAGACTTGAAAAACACATAGAAGATGGAAGTAGAAATTCTAACTTTGGGGCAAAGAAAAAAAAAAAGATGAACACAAAAAAGATGAAACAGATACCATGAAGGAGTTCCCTTATAGACACAGCATGACAGTGATCTAGACCAGAGGCCTCGGAGCTGACACCACTGCTCCCTAACACGAATTCCCTGTATCAGCCCTCTGACTCAGGGTAGGCAACCTTGAAAGATGATGGGGGACTGGAATGCTAAGTCTGGCCATTCATTTTTGTGTGGCAAGAGCACCGGGCTGAGGGAATGACTGGAAGGTACGTGACAAGGAGGCCTGAGGAAGACGCATGCAGACATGATTAAGAGAACAGCACAGAAGTGTGAAGATCTCTGCTTTGCAGGTTAACACCTACCATGGGAAACCACCACACAACAAACACCAAACAAAAGGTAGAGAGAATGACTAACTCATGTGACTGACAATGTCATTGTTTTTATGGGCCATCTAGTCGACTCTGACTCACAGAGACCTATGAACAAGTATGTACCCTTCCCTGCCCTGTGCCGTCCTCATCTCTGATATCCTTGAATCCACTGAACTCACAGAGACCTATGAACAAGTATGTACCCTTCCCTGCCCTGTGCCGTCCTCATCTCTGATATCCTTGAATCCACTGATGCAGTCACGGTGTCAATCCACATTGTTGAGGGTCTTCCTCTCTGTCCAAGCATCATGTGTTTTTTAAGGGACTGGCCACTCCTAACAGAATGCCCAAAGTATGTACGATAAAGTTGTAACATTTTTGCCTCTCAGGCGTCCTCTAGTTGCACTTTCTCGAAGTTTGTTCTTTTGGCAGTCCACTAGGTATTTTATACTCTTCTACAAAACCCTAACTTAACGGCATCAAATCTTCTCACCCTTATTCACTGTCCAACTCTCAGATGCATAACAAGTAACTGAAAGGACCATGGATTGGATGATGCATCTTAGTCTCTACATTGACACTGTCGCTCCTTAGACCTTTGGAGAAGTCCTTAACAATAGATTTTCCTAATGAGAGGCTTGCTGCACCTTTGCTGGAGGAGCATGTTATCTGTACCATGGTATCAGGATGCTCGCTTTTATGATTTGCTTTTAGGGGTGCTACATTTATTAGTCGGTTTATTGTACTGGGGGAGTGATCTGTGTGTTGCTGCTTACCTGATAGCTTAGGTTTGTGTACATGTGCTTGTTTATTGTTTGCTATTATGAGTGCAGCACTTGTCTGTCAGTTGGCTCTACTGGGGTGGCCTGTGGTTTGCTGTGATGCTGGAAGCTGGAACCCCATCATCAGGGTTTCAACAATCAGCAGGTTCACCAGGGGTGGACAGGTTTCAGTGGAGCTTCCACATTAAGACAGACTAGGATGCAGGACTGGACACTGAAATAACAGGCCTTCAAAAACCTATGACTGATAATAGCCAGTCTCTATCGTTAACCACCCTTGTGCTGGCACAAAGAGCACGTGAACAGACTGCCATGGTGACATAGATGGAGGTGACTCACAGGTTCCGCTCACCACGATGACCTGGACAGAGCAGCTACGGAATAACCAACCTGCCCTGCCAGTAACAGAGACCAACGCTGAGCCGTGACACAAGAACAAACAGCCACTGAGTGACAAGTAGACTACACCAGAACCCTCATGTTGTGGAAAGGGCAGCGATTAATTAACTATATTTGGCATTTACTTCAGTTATAAATCTGCTTTTTCTTTCAGTCAGTTAAATGTTTGATCTGCTTAACTTAATAAGTGTTTGTGTTAATAAGTGGACTTAATAAGTGTTTGATCTGCTAACACGGATCCAGCTTACCATCACATCAGAACAAAAGACTCACTTTACAGCAAAATCAGTGTGACAATGGCATGTCCAAGAGATACAATGAGTTCTCATATACCAACAGTCTAGGAGCTGCTGGTTTGGTCTACGAATCAAACGGTCTTCCGAAGATGCAGGATAATACTCTAATCTCTAGGATGTAGTACAAGGAGAAAAATCAACAATCCTACGGTAATACAATCAATGCTAATACAGGTGCTGTGGCCTCAACAAGAGGCTATGACCGTGAGAATAAGGGTAGAAGGAGAAGTGACTCTCAGTGACTGACACAGAAAAGTCTTCCTTTTCGTCTCTGCAACTGTTGGTTTGATGAGTTTAGAGATCTTGGCATACAGAGAATACTTTAACCAAAAAAACATTTTATGTCACAATTGTTATTCGATCACTGAGTTTCTTATGCCAAAACCCCGGCAAGCCATGAGAGGAATCCTCGCAGGAGTATTTATTTCTGATATTTGGGGGGGAAATAAGGCTATTATCATAAAAAAAGAGGCTGCGAAGAACATACATGACACCGAGGCAAATCACTGGGACGTCATTTGGTATTTTGTTGCCAAATTACTATGGCAAATGAACAAATGCAGAACCCACAGCCTGAGGAGGACAAGGCGACCAGGGACCCAGGACTCACGAGGGAGAGGATGTGCGTCTCATCCAGGAAGCTTTCTAACCAATGGTGAGAGTAATCTATAATGGACAGCAGGAGGAGAAGGTGATGATGATCAATATGAAAGCAGCTTCAACAGGAGGAGATGTAGCTCGTCCAGCTAACTCTCCTCTCAAAATTTTCTCTCCAGAAAAGAGGCACGTAGGAATGCTAGAAGGGCTGCTCTACAGAGCTGTTCGGTTTGTTTTTAACTCACTGTTGTATGGGTAAGCTTGAGCCTGATGAGGCAAATCAGATCTAGACTGTTCCATGTCCTTCTTTCTTATTCCAATTCTTACGTGTCCAAGGATAGGAAAACCACAGATGTGCCTTTTCAGGATGATCAGAACTTTTGTTTTTTTTTAGAAGATCCCAGAAAATCCTACAACAGGTGCTGGAGTAGTGTTGCGTTGTACTGTCTGGGCTCCCCATATTCCTTTAGAATCGATGCACTCCACACCTCCTGGCTGCAAATTACCAGATAATGATTGTAACACATGATTCCCCGCCTGCATGATTTGGATCTGAAGAGAGTCCATCTACCCACAATCATTCCTCCTCCCTGGTGGTAATCTAATATGCATTCAACGACTGGTTTGTGGAGATACTAAGTTTCAGTGCTCTTAACTCTAACATCAATCATGTCAATCATTGTGCTAATTGTTATTGGGGGTTGAGGAGGTGAATCCAACTCACAGCAACCTTATGAACAAGAGAATGAAGCTTTGCTCGGACCTGGGCCATCCTCACAATCTCGGTCATGCTCAATCATTAGCTCAGCTAGCGACACAGTGGAGGAGGGGGAATTTCCCAAGTTCAAAAGGTATCTGGGAGAACCTATTTCCCACAGATTTACTCTTCTCATACTGGCAAACTAGTAGTGTTACGTACCTCTCCTATCAAAGCCAGAAACCACAGAATCATCCATTCATCTTTTTTTCTCTGCCTCTTCTACCTGGAAAATGTTCAATGTCACCATTACTCTCTCAGCGTGCAGACAATGATCATTCTGAGTTCTTGTAATTTCATGCTGCCCCTCGGCTTCCCTTGCAGTGTGGCTCCTCTTCCTGTTAAGGTCAGGGCTTAGCCCAAGGCTATATTCATCCTGCGTGTGTGTTTTCCTTATCAAATGCATTTGTGGTTGTTTGTTAGATTCCATCGTGTTGAGTATGGCTTTTAACAATCTGTGAACCATGGCTCTGAACCAGGCTCTGTTATGTTGTTGTTATGTGCTGTCGAGTTGAATCTTACCTATAGCTGACCCTCCAGTGGGTTTTCAGTAGTTGGAAATCCCATGGGAGGAGTTTGTTCATCTTTCTGCCACAGAGCAGTTGGTAGATTTGAACTGCTGGCCTTTGGATCAGCAGTGTAGCTCCTTAACACCTTGACTTCAGCTCTCATCTCTACAAAGTTGACTCTTTGATCTATACTTTCAGCTTTTACCTAAGAGGAGTTTATGCGCCATCTTTAAAAGCATAAGTGAGTAAACATGAGCATTCTGAGAATATACAGTAACTTCAAATTCAAATATATTTAGAGGAAACCACCTCTATTTCTCTTTCTTCCCTTGCTGTCTCAGCCCATTGAGGAGCTCGACCTCTTTCCTCTTCCCAAGCTGGATGCAAACTCTGGGACCCATCTCTCCAATAGGACACCCATTTCACTGCTCCAGGCTATTGGGAGGCCCTGCAGATCTGCCTCTGACCTCATTTTCAGGAGACAGGGAGGTCCTAAGTGACCCTCTCTTACTATCTTAGAGGACAAAGATGATGCTGGAAGCAACGGAGAGTCCAACATACAAATGATCAGGGGAGTGTTGAACAAAGACTGACTCTGAGATTCTAGCCTGACTACAGTAACAGTCACCCTTCTTCCCCCGCCTATCTTGAAAGACAAGGAGAGAATCAGGTATCTCACACACAATATTTGTTCAGCAATATTTGTAAATAAGTTATTTGATCATTTTATTGCCAATTCTTCCCTTGAAGATGTTTACTTTCCCTCTATTTCAACGAAGCCAAATCAAGCTTTACATTTGCTCTTCACAGATAATGCAGTTTTCACAGGAAGACACTGTGGCTTTTAGAAGGTTATAAAAGCAGATAAATATCACATGTTGCTAACTAGGTTGGTGTTTCTCTAAGAAACAGTACTTACCAAATATAACTAGAATATGACTGTCCAGTTGACCAATCTTTCACATACAATTCATCTCTTTACCTTTTTAAAAAGCCAAAAATAGTCACTCCTAGAGACCTACATTCTGGAAAAGCTTCAAAATCTACATTGCTATGAACAATCTAAAAAGGAAAAAAAAAAGTAACTTTAACCTTATAATCAGAGAGATGACTGTTTCTTTAGACCACTAAGTACATTCTAAAACTTGATTACGATCGTCATTTATTTTACCTGCTGCTGTCTCTGACGCCTCACTTGGGCAAACTGTGAGAGCATCAGCTGCCGGTCAAGCAGCTCCATTCTCTGCTGCCTCTGGATGTCGACTGTTGCTCCCATGCCAATTCTAGCTTCGCTGCTGGGTTCTGAAGACGAAAAGAGAGGCTCGAGGCTCCAAGCACAGAAAGCGGCCGCCCAGCTGGGAATGTAGAGCATCTGCTGAAGTTTCAGCGCCGTGCTCCTGTAGCACATACCGGAAACCTGGAGAGAAGAAGGACCAATTAGCTCATTTAGACGTAAACTTTCATTTACAAATTTTCTTTGTTTTTTTTTTTTTAAATTCTTATATTATTTTTGTGTGTGTGTGTACCATCAAATCGGATCTGACTGGTACAGGAGGAGATTGTCCCTCCTTCTCCAGCTGAGCAACTGGTGGATTTGAACCACGTACTTCTGGGATTGCAGTACAGTCTCTTGCCTCTAGGCCACCAGAGCTAGCCAAATTTTCTTAAAGAACATACTTAGCACAGAAATTAACAGCCAATACAATTCACCTGAAGGATTTTATTATACATGATGTTTCTCTTAGGTTGTCAGGTAAGGAAAGATCTCACTAACCGGCAGACTGTTAAAGTATGAATTTAAAAAGTTACTCAGTAAAACAAAATTGGGGAGAAGGATGGGCAATCTCGGGCAATCTCCCTCCGTTCAATTAACTGCCTCTGAAAACCCCCACCTCCGGAAGGTCAGCTATGGGTCAGTTCCAACTTGATGTTACTCAACAACAACAAAACGAAATCAGCTTTGTTAAATTAGAAGGGATAACAAAATGCTAATGATTTATCACTTAAAGGATTGGTAAGTAGTCTTCAAAACAATAACCACCTCCAAAAAGCGATTTATAAAAATCTGATAAGTCAAACACTTTCACCCTGCACTGACTCTGTGGTTACGCTCACTGGCAAATGGCCACGGGGGAGAGTGATGGAAATGACTTTGATGTTTAATCACCTCACAGAGTTACACAATAAACATAAAAAATAATCTAAAATCTTTGTTCTTTAGAGGTAGAAAAAGAAAAACAACTTATTTATCCTCTTCAAGGGCATTTATGAGACAAGAAATCTAAACACTTGCTCTGGTTTTCTATATAAAACTATGGCTATTGTGTAAGTAAACCTCTTCTTTTTGAGGGAGGAAGGTGAAAGAAGAGACTGATCGTTAGAAAAGATCTATTTCAAAGAACAAAGTGGCGGTTCTAAAAGTAGGGGTGGAAAAGGACAAAACTTGTCACTCTTTAACCTAAATTTGACTCTTAGGATAAGAAGTTATGTATAATAAATTAGAGTTTCTGCCCCTCAATTTCCTGCTTAATGTGATACAAATATATAATTAGCTTTTTAAATGAATCAATTTGGCAATTTACTGAGCATCTTTGATATACACTAGGACACCAGAAGACAAAATAAACAAGGTCACAGTCGGGTAAAGGTTTCGTGGAATGGTCAATAAAGACATAAACACAGAAAGAAAGCAATTTCAGACAAATCTCTAACAGAAGCAAAACTGACTTTAAACAGACACAATTTCTTGTCTGAGTGGTTAAAGAAGTTCTCTGAGGAAGGTATCTCAGCAAAGACTTTAAGAATGGTGAATATAAGTGATTTGAAGTATCAGGAGAAGAAGAGTTTAGGCAGAGAAACAGGAAACACAACTTAGGAGTATTTATCAGAAAGTTTAGGGAGATTTCCTGTCAGTGGCTAGATAGTTAAAATAGAATTCAGGGGAAAACTCTGAGAAAGCCGTCTCAAGAGATCTGGAAATCACTGACACATTAGTAGCATTTAAAGCAACGGGACTAGGTGGGATAATATTGAGGTGTTGTGTTGTTGTTGACTGCTCTCAAGTCGAGCACAACTCATAGCGACCCTACGAACAAAATACCTGAAGCCTATCTGTAACTATCATTGTTTCACCGAGTTCATAGAGTTTCCAGAGGCATGTTGTTTAGGAAGTGGATGCCACTCCTGCTTCCCATAATATTGAGGTAAGGGATGCAAAACAAACAAGAGAGCTGAGGACTGACCCTAAAAGTACAATGATATTTTCTAGGTAGACAGAGTAGAACTCAGTAAGGAAATAAAAGAAACGGCTGCCAGTGAACAAAAGGAAAACTTATAAAGCTTAGGGTCCTTGAAGCTAAGCTGAGACAGTGTTTTAAACTAAATGGTCACTTATGTTCAATGCACTGGCAAGTTCAAGGAAAATAAACTCTGGATCCTTCAAGAATAGTGCCATTGGGGTGGGGAAGGAGCAGAAGACAGGCTAGAGTGGGTTAAACAGTAGGATAAGAGGTGGTTACGTAGGTCTCAAAGGATTGCTATGGCCTTTCTATCAAAAACAGCACAAAACATAAAAATAAAAGGATAACTAGTAAAATGTGTTTTAGGGGCCCAAGAGGGTAAGGGTGGGAACAGAGGAGTGAGGATGGGTTGGGGGGACATCATAGGGTCTCACAACTTGGTGGGTGGAGGGAGGGGTTAAAGGAAATGAGAAGGATCAGGTGAGCAGAGTCCGATGGTGGTTAATTTTATAAGACACCGTGCATGGGGTGACTATATGAAACATACTGTCAATGAAAGAAAGTGTGTGTGTGTGTGTGTGTGTGTGTGAAATCTAAAGAAAAAAAATAGCACAAAACAAAGAAAAAGAAACAAAAATATATGCAATGTTCAGTGAAATGAAAAAACACCTGTAATCCTGAATCATGGTGGTCGAGTGGGTGCTGTGTTCCAATTCCACAAGCACATGGTTCAAATCCACCAGCTGCTCTGTGGGATTTACTGCCTCTGGACACACACCAGAGGGCCAGCCACGAGCTGCATTCCAACTCAACTGCACACAACAACAATCCTGACTCAAAATAACAAATACATTGATAAATCATAAATCCTCTTGTATACATTGTTGTTGTTCTGTACTGAAGAGTCAAATTAACTCAGGTTTTCAGAGTTAGTAAATGATGTGGAAGGAGACTTCCCATCCTTCTCCCACAGAGCTGCTGGTGGATTCGAACCTGATGTCTTTGAGTTGGCAGTGTAACCCCTTAACATTAAGCCATCAGCAGGATTAATCATGGTGCCCAGAAAGGGCCCTGTGGAATGCAAGAGTCCCAGGGATTAGAGTCACCAGGAACTGGGGGAGACAGGAGTTACGAGGAGAACTAGTCTGTGTAAGAAGCAACTCCCCACCGAGCACAGTGATGGCTCTCGCTCTCCTCTCACCCCACGTGGTGGGGATGGTGAAGGCTCTGAGGACATGACTCCAAGGGGCTCTGATGTGAGAGCAGGCCTGGGAATCTAAACAGAAGGACTGCATACAGAAAAGTGAGGCTCTTAACGTCTGTCTCATAGGAGCACCAGAAAATGATAGAACAGAAGGGCAGAAGGGAGATTATATATAAAATATTTAACATTGCTCTTATAAAATAGGACTTAATATGGGGGGCTGGGGAGGGAACAGGGAAGGAGTGGATAAATCAACACTGCAGTGGAACAAGATGAGGAGAAGAGTCCAAAAGAAATAGACATATGACAGTGGGGGAAGGATCGGCAACCTCCTCCCGTGTGATTAACTGCGTCTGAAAACCTACTGGAGGGTCAGCTATGGGTTGATCCACCTCCACGGTACACAACAACAAGTACGACAAAATGTGGAACAAGAGGTGCATTGCAAAGTGGACTAGAGGAGGGAATAGGGAGAGGAAAGGATTAGGAAGTGCAACAATGAAGGAATAAAAATTAAAAGAAAAAAAAAAGAAAGCTATTCCAGCTGAGAGTTTCCCATTATTTGTAAAGGATGTAAATCTTTAGACTGAAAACACAACAGTCCCAAGAAGGATTATAAAATGAAATTTAAATGTAAATCTACTGTTATGAAACAAAGAAAAAAATTCTTAAGGGTAACAAGAGATGAAACACAGGTTGCCTGTTGTTGGTGGGTGCCATCTAGTCAAACATCACTGACAGTGACCCTATGAACAAAAGATCCTGCTCTATCTCATGCCATCCTCATCAGACCTGACACACTTGAGACCACTGCTGAAAAACCGTAAACTATCAGCAGAGAACAGCCATGGAACTACAAAGTAGCTAGCAAGAAATCTAACAGAAATTATGTATACACTTCACTGGGAAAATGAGTACATTATTAACAATACACATTAAAAAAAACCATATTAACAAGGAAAGACACCAAATCTATGAATGCTGTTGTTACAGGTCATTGACCTGACTACGACTCAATACGGTTTTATGCCCCGTAGAGAGGAACTTGGTGCTACAATGCACCATCCCCATGATTTCCAGCACAGGCATGTCCACCACTGCAGACATGCTGTCACTCCAGCTCCTGGAAGGCTGCCCTCTCTTTTGCTGACTCTCTACCTTCCCAGCATGAAGTCCTAGGTTTTCAGGACCTGCCTCACCTGACCATGTGCATGAGACAAAGTTTCACCATCTTTGTCTCTAAAGAGCACCCTGGGTAGTATTTCCTCCAAGGCAGATTTGCTTGTTCTTTTGGCAGGCCTCTATACATTCAGTACCCTTTATTAATACTATAATTCAAAGACATTGATTCCTCTGTCATCTTTATTCATTGTCCAGATTTCCAAAGCACACGAAGCAACAGAAAATACCATGGCTTGGATCAAGTACACCTTAGTCTTTAAATTGACACCATTGCTCTTTAGAACTTTGGAGAAGTCCCTGACAGCAGATTTCCCAATACAACATATCATTTCCCCCCATCCCTGTTAAATGTTTAATTTCTTGCTTGTTATGCTCTTTGGCAGCTACAAACTATATTGTAAACTTTTTTCATTTCCCCATTTTATATTTGTTTATTTAGAGCTGGTATACATTGTTTTTCATACCAATACAAAATATCTTTTGACTGCTTGACTGCTGGTACCATGTGTGTTGACTGTGGATCCAAGTAAAAGAAAATTGTTGACAATTTCAATATTTTCTCCAGTAACCACGATGTTGCCTATTAACCAAATGGCAAGATGTTCTATTTTCTTGCTGTTGAGAAGTGGTCCACATTGATCTGCAGTAAGTACTTCAAACCTTTTCCATTTTCTGTAAGTAAGGCTGTGTCATCTGTGCAACAGGTCGTTAACGAATCTTCCTGCAGTTGTGATGCCACAGTTTTCTTCATATAGTCCAGTTTCTCAAATTTTTTTTTTAGCATACAGATTA